TTGTTTACAAGGATTGTATGCACCCTAGTATTTAGATAAACCATAAACTTTAATTGTAAGCATGTTTTAGTCTTTGTTAAACAAAATATCGAAAATGTTAACGCACATTTATTTCCAAATATTATTTGTTAAGTATATTAAATCAAGCTCATGCATCTTCTCATTTCATATTACAATGCCTATAAGCTTTTGTATTTTCCCTTAGTAATATATGTAAAAACTTAGATTGTAGACTTAACAATATCTTAGTCATCTAACTTAAACATCTAAAGTTATTTTGATAGATACTGTGGCTATAGGTACGATACGAGGTACAGTTTTGATGTGATCAACTCTATTTGCCTAAATAGGGTTATTAGATTATTCAAATTATAGTAATTTATTTTCAAAACAATGTATTAGTCAATCATAACAGTCTGAGAATTGCAATTTAAATTTAACATGAGCAGGCATTTTTAAATTATAAATAAACTAAATACGTTTCTATCTTAGCTAAACGTTCTTTGCATTAACGATAATCATTATTTAAAAAAAACTCACAGCCCAGCAGCAAATAAATACGAAGAATGCCCACACACACTCGCGCAATCTACGCACACTGTTGCCGAGAACCATTTCCCTGTTTTATGTCTATGGTCTATTGACTATTTCACTTTATGCACATTTTACTATTAAAAAAAATAAAAAGCGTATCGTGACCGTGGAGCTGTCTGTAAATACGACAGGAGTTGAAACAACTGAGCTGATAGTGTGAGCAATCTTATCGGCGTTCAATAAGATATCAATAAAACCGGCGCACGATGCCCGCTGGGCCTAGACCTTTTCATTTTTAACGTGTTTGTCTAATGATAAAGCTGTCACTTTTGCGACAGTTGTTAAATGAATGGGTTAACGATACACATGATTGAAGTGACCATTGCTACTACGCATAGTCAACAGTCGCAGCGGTGAAGAAAAGAAGAAGAGCATATTAGAGGGTTTAGGATTAAAAAAATGGTTCAGGATACCTCTCTCACTTTTACATGACAAGCCGGTAAATACTGTTAAACCTATTTACAATTGAATAGTCTCATAGGGCGAGGGCATTGCAATTGCTCACTGTACCTTTTTGAGGGTAGAACGTAATTAAGAATTCGGTAACATGTATTTAAAATAGTAATACTATAATATATTAACATATCCTATGTTATATTTTTATATCCAATTAAATGAACACTATACGTGGACACAACAAATCACGGCTTATGATAATTTTTATAGCTATGTCATGTCCAACATATTTTACTACTGTTATTAATGGTAGGGGTTTTAATTATTTTATTTGGATATTACTATAAGTTTAAGTAAATATTAAAGTTAAGTTATAATAGTGTTATGGAATGTCTTTACTGTGGTTATGGCTCCTTTAATAGTATCGAACGTAGTGACCCTTAGAATTACCATAGACGAGATCAGATTATTAGACATTTGGTTTTATACGATTCAACAATTATGTGAATAAAACAAAGTCCGAATAGAATCCAAATGTCTCTTCTCTATCTAGGGTTGGTTATAACCAGCAAGTAGATCGTTAAATTCGATCATCAAAATAACCAATGACTATGGCAATGTTAATTAATTACAAATTATGAATGTCACTCATCTTGTTTTAAATAAATGGATATGATCATTAAAATTGTTTCGCGTTAAATCAGGTCATTAGAGAACACCAGTGTATAAGCCGCGACGGGTCGGGGGACCTGTCGCGCCGAATTTGGCGGATGTGCCCCCTCTTGTGTTCCGAGGGGGCCATCATCGTAGGGTGATGGGAGAGGTTTAACATCTCACCCCTCCCTACACGTGTCGAGCCCCTACCAAGGGGCTCCCCCTAGCCGGGTCGTGGATAAACTAACGTAGATGCCAC